ATTTCCAAATAGAAATAGAAACAAGCATACAATTCGACATTTCACAATAAAAAGTATAAAAAACTGTAGCAATTCTGCGGTCGTGCTTAATTAATTGTTAAAAGCACTGCATTTCTTACGGATTTCTCCTGCATTACCAACCAGAACTTGAATTCTACCCATCTTGACCATTGCATCAGCGAAGCTTTGCTGAAACTGAGCAGTGTCAGATGCAAGGGCAGTAACAATACTCTTTGTTGACGTAGAGACAGCAAGGTTTTGATCAATAGACAGAACGCCATTTTTTTGAAGAATTTGCTTATAGTACTGGTTATCCACTGCGAAGGGCGTCTTGGCGTCCAAAAATCTACCAAACGCCTTTCCCACCGTGTGTCCACCCATAAGGCTCACCATGTCTAGTCGTCCGATTCCCTTCCTGGCAAAGAAATTCAAGGCATTCTGCACTGAGATGCCAGGTCCTGGCAAATCAACCTCGCTGCTTCTAGAGACAAGCCCGTCGCGTCGCCCGGTGGGAACCTCATATTTGGGTCCTCCGGCCAGAGCCACGGCGTCTCTGGTGGCTAGTGTTATGATATCAGCACACGACACCGTGGAAGGGCACGCTGCTTCAAGCCTTTCCTTCACCTCGTCGATGAAATCAAATCCCCGTACGCTTGCGTTTTGACCAGCGTCTTTCTCGGCGTCAGTGGAGTTTATCAGTAACGATGCATCGCAACCCTGCGATTCATGTTATTAATCAGTTAGCCAGAATAATTAGTACAATATGGAATTATCACTCAAATTTTTAAACGGGTAATTAAAATGCGGAATTAATGTTCACTCGGACGAAACAGTCGTGAAAGTGCATGCGAAGCAAGGCCGCAGTGATGGTCTTGTCGTCGTTGAATCGCCTCTGCACGGCTTGCTTCACGATGGACTCTGCATTAGGGCAGGAGGAGTCATAGAATCCGAGCTTGAGCTTGGCGAATGCCATGGGAAGAACCAGCACCAGGATGCAGACAACAACCGATGATATCTTCATTGTTTGGTTACTTGGCTTAGTATTGCAAATTGCTTGTACCCCACTAGCTACCAAGTGAATTTGCTTTGTTTCTCGACAGGATCGGATTGTGATATCTGAGCATGTTTATATACAGAGCGCAAAAAGATGACGATGCCCAAGTTGCCATCGCTATTCTGGCTTATTCGTCTCCATCTAATGTTAATTAAATAGTTATATATCTATGACTTGTTGACTTCTCCAACATGCTAGTATTATTTTATATAAAATAAAGCTAACTGCGTCGATTATATTATTTTTTTTCCTCTTGATTATATACTATAGTTTTTAAGGAAAAGAATTACATAATTATATTTCATATTTGTGAAAAATTTCCCAAAACTTACTGTCCGAAGTCCGAACTTAAAGTATATTGTTCTGCGGAGAAAAAAGTATTTTGTGGTGCAAAAAAGTAATTTGGACTAACGTTGAAATAATTGCGTATGAAACTCTCCGTATTTGTTTCTTTTCCGGTTGTTAACATGGTCAAGCTTCATTTTAAAAATAATACTAATTCAAATCGTTAACCTGGATAACATCGAAAATTATAATTATAATTGACGTTGAATTTTGGGAGGGGTAAAAAACAAACCAATGAAGTTGGCCAATGGATACAAAAATATATTAGCCGCGCCGGGTGAGGGCGCCGGCCATTTGGTGATTGCCTGAGTTGGCATGGATGATGTAGGAGAGAGAGTCCATTTCATTTTTTTATAATATAAAAATAATTAAATTACGTAACTTAAAAAAATTAGTGAAAAATAATAAAGATATTAAAATAGATTTTTTTTTTTAATAAAACGCCCTTGCCTACAGAAAGGAAGAAGGAGACAATAAACACAGTAAAACTGACCTGTAATTAATATGAACAAAAAGACGAAATAGTATTAAAATTTCCATACAGATTATTTATATGTCTTGAAAATGTTGCATGACGGAGAGGGTATGACAATTTCAATAACAGCTGAATTTGACTTTTGCATTCTCACTTTTGTGCTTTGGGCGTGTGCTATGGAGAGGGGGAGAGATCGACCATTCATTCACTCCATTTGTTAATATCTCCGTCAAAGCCATGGGTGTTTCATCGTTTTATATTTCTTATTGCCAACTATATTGCCGCCCCACTGCTTCTCCTCTCTTTCTTGTTTATCTGTCTCTTAATCAGTGAAAAATTAAAGCATTATGTTCCCAATTATTTTCTTAGGTCAATACTGTGATCTTGTCACATGAGACAAAATTCTTCTAACATGTTTGCAGTTTACCTCGTCTTTTATAAATCATGATTAAAAAATACATTTCAAATATGCCCTATTTTTCCTTTGCAGATTACAACAATTGTCTATACTCAATGCCCAGTATTTCTGCTAGTACAATGAATTCTTTCTGTTTTAGTCAATATATGTATTAATTTTTTTTTACTGTTGTAGAACCAAGTCGTGTTGTGTGTATTAATGAAAACCGTACACAGCATTAACATGTTTATAATGTTTGAAGTAATTGTTTTTAACGTGAACAGTAGCGTTGGAATCATGTAGTTGGGTTTGTTTTTATAAAGGCGGGCGATTGCAATGAAGCCCAGTATTATGTTTCCTACGTTGAGTACCTCTTTGGGAGCCCAGATACCCCATGTGTTTTATGTCTTCCAATTAGGTAGCATTTAAAATAAAACACTCAGCACACAACATTAGTTTTGAAGAGGCGAGTATTCAGTTTTTCGGTTTAATTATCAGTAATAACCGAAATAACTAAAACCGAATTAATTAAAATATTTCGATTCGGTTAACTGATTAACCAAAATATATAAATATAAAAAGTGATTTTAAATTAATAATAATAATAAAACACAATTACAACCAATAATTAATAAATATTTTATCATTTAATGTGATTTATTATAATAATATTTATTATTATAATCATATTTATTGAATATAAATATATTTAAAAAGTTCAAATAAACCCACACATATATTTATTATAATAATATTTATTAAATATAAATATATAATATATTTTTTTGGTTTTTTGGTTATAACTAAATTTTTTTTTTCACAAACCGAATCGAACACTAAAACCGAATTGTTAAAAAAACAAAAAACAAATATGTAATCGAAAACCGAAATAATCTACCAAAAAAACTGAAATTGAGTTTGATTCGATTTAATTTTCAGTTATGGTTCGGTTTTACTCACTCTTAGTTTTGATGATCACGACGACACACGATATTATTGGAAGAAAATCGAAGCATGACTTTGAAGAGCCTGGAGTCAAGTCAACATTAAGATCCCGATTGAAATTAATGTTTTAATCATTAATGTTGCGTTTGACTTTTAAAATTAGCAAAGATAATAGTACTATCATAATTAAAGCAATTAATGCTTTATTAAATTTGTTAAAAGACAGAAAAATAGCAACAAATTTGCCTCTCTCTTTTTTTTTAATGAGGTGTACAAGGTCAATGCATACACTGAAACACTCCAATAGTTTATCAGAATCGGTTCCCAGAAAGTCTGCGCTAAAAACTGGTTCCAATTACCATCTCCCCTCCTCATGTTAATATATGAGTTAGTTGATTATTTTGAATAGATTAAAAAAATTAATTGAGTTAATTATTTATAATAAATAGGTGTTGTCTTTTCTAAAATACTCCTACTAATCATATATATAAGTTAGAACCACAATACAATAAAACTTTTAACATATGTAATTACTATAAGAATTATCTTAAACAAAATAAATAAATATTAAAAACAAAGTGGATTAGAACTCTATATTTAACATCAAATTAAAAAGTACAATACTTACATCAAATTCTATATATTTATTATGCCAAGTTCTCACCTCACTAAACATTGGTTCCAACAACATCCACCGTTTTCAGAAATAAATGCCATTCAATTCAAAGCTACACTTAAATGCTCAAAATGCAATTAAATAGACACGTTTGATTTAAATATTTTTATACTCCTGAGTTTTTTTCCCAACAAAACAAAAATGGTTAATATTTCATCAAGAATTCTAAAATAGAGATATATACCGAATAAAAATATTCGTTGACGTACCTGTATTCCCTGGCTTCATGGGGTAAGCAATGACGTAGGAGGGTAGAGGGACTAATGGGAGTACGTAAAGGTGTGATTTCTCGTGGATTCCCTTGGGATTAAGTTTTCTTCATTTGCAAGAACATAAGCAACGGGAAAAGTTTAATTGCGCGGAAAAAGAAGAAAGTGAATGAGTGCCTTTAACTTTGTAGGATTAAAGGAGAATTGATGTTGGTCTGTTGTTCATGTTAATTTAATGACTGAAAACCCAGAAAAGAACGTCTTTTCACCCGATATGAGTCGTAAAGAGATATGTCTGTGATGACTGACGACGAAAATATCTGTGCTCCTTCAGCGAAAGCGTCTTTCATCGTAAAAAGCACTGGCTTAAAGCAAGGCTTTTTGATCCGAACTTTCCTCAAGTCAAAAAAAATTTCATTTTTGCAAAAAGAAAGGTTTGAAAAAGTCCCTCAAAAGCCAGAAAAGCTCCAAAAGAACCGTCAGCTTTGCCTGCTCCCAACTGCACTTTGGAGAGCATCCCCCAATCATGACTTTGCTTGCCCGATTCAACCATCGACATTGCACTGACTTTGACTTCCACTGTTCACCAACCTTATCTACTCCCAATTTTTAGATTACTATTTACTACTGTATTACTCATCCCAAGTATTTTCTTGGAAAATAACTGGACTTGTATATGTTGAACTCTTCCCAAGATCGATATCTCCCAAAACTACAAAACTTACCCAGTTTCCCCTCCAGCACTGACTTCGTTTATAGAAAAGATTCGATTCGGTAGATGCAAGGAGGCACACGGGGAATAGATATATACATGGGCATTGTGCACCATAACAGATCTCTATATACTACTTCTAGTTTTTGAATCATGTGAATGATAGATAAAAGGCTCAGCACTGTACTAACTTAACCTGGTTGATTATAGCGGCGCAAACGCCAAGAATCATCGGTTTTTAAGGATCAAACTACACAACAGATTTTGATTAAAGACGAAATAAGAACTAAAACTATAAAATCGGTTCCACAGAGAAATGACATCCTCAAAAACCGATTTTCTTAAAAAAGGACTTAAAGCTAGCAATGGGCAAAAGATCATGTCAGAATTACAAGGGGGAATATTAAGCAAGGAACTCATTGTGCTCTCTGCTGGAAAAGCTGACCAAACGTTCCCACTCTTAAGTATGTTGGGAATTAACACCAGTCTGATTTCTCTTCGTCAGTGTTTTCCAAGGGCTGGGGAGCCATTGCCTGAGCAATGGCCATTACTGGTAGAGGATGAGGAGGAGAGGCAGCCATTAGAGCCAATTGAAACTGTTCCCGTTCCTGTTCCTCCCGCAGAAAAGATAGCCCCATTACTCCAACATGGAGCTGCCACAAATTGCACAGGAATGTTAGGTGACCCAATCTTATTCTCAGCATGCCACTGCGCCGGAAACACCCATGGAGCCGCAGGATAACATCGCACACCATTTGATGTATTCATCAGATTGGACACATTTCTGTTCCATTGCATAGCAAGTTCTGATACTTCATTTCCCCTGCCCCACTCGCATTGGTCACAGAAGATCCACACCCGGATGCCTCCTCCCAATTTCCAAGATTGAGAATTGAACTCCCAGAATCAGAAACAGGGGCGTCTGGACCAAATCTCAACACGGTACTAGTATTATCTGGGGGTGCTGACTTGAAAGCAGATGAGGATTCAAGAGTTGAGAAACACTGGTGAGAAGATGAGTCTGTCTTTGAGTTTGCAACTGGAATGCCTTCGGAGGATACTGTAGTGTGGCGATGGTATGGCGAGGACAGTTGCCTGTTCCTTCGTCTTCCAGCACCAACTGGGACATTTCTCATTGCTCCGCCGGCAGTCCAATATCTGTGGCAGCTCTTGCAGAAATGTCGAGGTTGATTCACGTTGTAGTTATTGAAATAACAGAACTTTGTATCCATACTGTTGCATCGTGGACACTGTTGAATCTTGTCTGGTTTCTTCATCATTTTAAATTCTTCTGAACTGCTTATCTTCGTTGGCTCATTTTTCTGCACATTTTGGTGTTCGGAGCTTTCGGTAGAAGGCGTTCCCACTTCTGCTTTGTTTGAGCTACTCCAATCATGCTAAAATGAAAATCACAATCAGTCCTCATCAGATTGACAACTTACCAGAAGTATGCAAGAAAGAAACGAAAACACAATCACCGGATTATATTCATTTCCCATCAAAATCAAGAAATTGTACATTATAGTTTTTAACACCCGGATCTACTTTCATGAATATTTCAACTTCTTCCTTCAATTTCTATTCATTATTCTTTTGACCTTTACTTTCGGAAATGCCATGTCTAGCCTTTTACATCACCTCTCTGTAATTTCCATTTATCTGACCAAAGAGTTGGTCACGGGTTAAAAAAAAGGAAGCAACTATAGTTGACAAAGCACGAGAAGAATCTCTGATAGATTATAGTGAACAGTGGGATAATCACCGAAGAAAAGGCACCAAACAGCCGATACGTACAAACGCCTCACAGGAAAATCTAAAATCGCTGTTCAGTCAGAGATAAAAATACTAAGTGCTGATCATGATGAAGAGAGAAGAACGAAATAATCCGGGCAGGACAACTTGGCTCCCATTTGTGTTCATGAAAGACTGAAATGAAGTCTGGCAACGAACCATCCAGAACACGGGAAGCGCGTATGGCGAAGAACAGTCCCAGTGACAAAAAATAGTGTGAAGGTGGCATTAATGGAATTTAACCAAATACGGCCGAAGAACTTCATATTCCCTCACAGCTAAAGAGCCAGAGCCCGTATTTTGTTTTCTGTTTTCCCATCGAAGCCCAGATGCCTCGGAACATTGTAAAGTATACAAAGTCCAGAATTTCCCGTATATTTGAAGAATAAAAGGAGACTATCTCATTGGTAGAAACACAAAAACAGAGGAGAAGATGACAATGAAAACCTAAAGCGTGAAGCTGAAACACGAATGGTTAATAGCTAAAAGTAACGTACCTCGGGAGGAGAGTTAGATGGAATCAGAGAAGGGGCGGCCGGAGTAGGAGATCCCGACGAGGAGGACATCTTTTGGCCGAAGAGTATAAAACCGGGATGATTGGCCGACATATCTGGTATCAGCAGTCAGGAGAGGCAGGGAGGTTGGTGTTTCGAGGGTGGGACGTTGAGGTGCAACGCCCATACAGAGGAAGAAGCCGAAAGAGCGATCAGGCGGGGCGTAAAAAGGAGGCTCTTTTTAATATCGGGGAACCAGATGAGTTCGCGAGAGGGAGTGGCAACTAGGAAGGTAGCCTCGCAAAGAAAAAGGCCCTGCAAAAAGCGCACAGAACGTGAGCCATTCTACTTCTTACTCACTGCAGCAAAAGCACCGTCTTTTTTACGTGGCATTGCTCTTCTTTTTCTTCCCTTTATGAGTTCTCTGAACCTCTCTCTTCCTATAGTTCATAGATAGAGGTACTTCTTTGATATTAAATGTAACATTCATTTTATAATATAGTTTATATTATAAAATAAGTTTTATATTTACACTATAAAATGGACTGAAGGAGCATATTTTATTTCTCAAATTGTTTGTCTATGTATTATTTCTCAATTTGTTTGTCGTTTTCTTCCTTCTTTTTTTAATATAAAAAACATTGGGATACGGGGACAGAAACCGTACACATTGGCGAGAACGCGCTGTGTTTAATACGAGTAATGGCTCCCATTGAATGTAAAATCTGGGTACATTAATGCCTCGTTGACATTAACAGGGAAATTAATGTTTTTTCAGCGAAAACTATTTTGTTTTGTTTGGGTTTTTGATTTTGGGGGCCGAGTATATTAGTGCGTGGAGGGGTGGGAGAGTGATTGATACGTATGGAAATGCAAAGAGAGGGCAAAGATGAAGATGATGATGAGTTTATAAAGAGGGATGGCGATGCCGACTTGAGGGGAGGTTGGCATGAGCCGACTTGAAGGCTTCGGGTTCAAAGTGAGGAGCCGACAATTGGGTGGTGACGGATGGGGCCCACGACGGCTTGTGACTTGCGTTTTACTAAAAAGGAAGCATCAACGACAACAATTCCAAGTTGCCATGAATGCATATATAATCTCAATCTAAATAAATATAAATATGGCGTCATTTACTAAGTTTAGTTCCTTCCTTCCAGCTTGCTTCATTCTCACTTCCCCCGTGCTCCCCCCCTCTCCAATCATATCTCCCCCTCTCATTGCTATTTCATATTCACCATTTGCCATTATTTTTTTTTATTTTGATAAAGCATAGATATTTTTTATTGAAAACAATCTTATTTGAAGTACTATCAGGTACTAAATATAAACACATCTCTTAATGGGAATTCGAACCTTAGTTTATTATGTCACGAAGGACTAACCTTTTATACTAGATTCAATCCTATTGATTACTATTATTTCAATAACAAGGGAGTGCTGCTGCGTACTTCTCTTAACGTCATATTATTTTGCTGCGCCTGGCATTTTTCTGCTGCCATTTCTTTTTACTGTGCCGCTGCCGCAGCTTGCAACTGTACAGATGGAATTTAAAAGGCAGTATAAAATAATATAATATGTGCTTTTAAATGCCACTTCTTAATATTTAGTTTGATTTTTAATTTAATTTTAAATATAATATTTTAATTCATTTTATTTCTCATACTCATCTATTTTTTAAAAATAATTTTTATAGTAGTTACATATGTTAAAGATATAATCAAATTGTAATTTTAGCTAGTACTCATGATTAGTAATAGTATTTTATAAAAGATAATACTTGTTTATTATAAATAATTAACTTAACTAATTTTTTTAGTCTAAACTAGCTCTTATATTATGAACTCGTTTAAACAATCAAATTCAATCCAGTGATCTACAGTCGTAATAGTGTCTCCACTTGATGGAGACGCGAGAGGGAGTCGCCTTTGCGTTTGTTAAGCATTGATTGCATTTTAAGTTATGATCATAATATTGGTAGTAGTACTATTAGCTTGTTGTCTTGAATAACAAAAATTACTACTCCCTCCAGTTTTATTTATAAGTTTTAAATTTGAAAAGTAGTATGCTTTATTTTATAAGTTTTAATTTAAGTTTATCTTAATATTTAATGTATTTTTTGATACTATCCTTAATTATTCATCTTTTGTCACATTTTTCTATATATTCTTTTTTTATTATTTTTATTTATTATAAACGTGTACTTAAAAACATAAGTCTAGTTTTAACCTATTTATTATTTTTAATTAATTTTAACTAACTATTTATTACCAACGAATTAGTTATAAGCACCGCAGGGCGTATTAGTAATGATGTGCAGTCTTGCTCATTAAATGATTAAATTCCCATATCCTGACTCGTTCATTCCTTGTCCGTACTTAAACCAGTTAAATTTGTGCGTTTATATTAATTTAGATAATTCTCCATCTGACGTAGATATAAAGCTCAAAAAATTAATTAAAATACCGTAAATTTATAAAAATGTAATGTTCTTTCCATAGATACACATACTTATTTATAAAAATGATGAGTGAGAGATAATAAATAAAAAAAGAAGAGAAAAACAATATAACTAATGCAGAGATATCTGCACGCTTGTTTTGCTCCCGACTCCTGACATTCTTCCTCCCCTCCTCACAAAGCCCATTCTAGAGATGGGCTTTACCCGCTAATCTCCAATCTCCTCTTAATTGGGCCTCATGTGACCCGGCCCTACACCCCCGCTAATGACTTCTATCACTTCCAAGTGGCTATCATTGCACCCCATGGGGTCAGATCTAATGAAATCTAGAGGAAGAAACTAATCTTTTATAATGTGACAAACTAATATTTAAATCGTCATTGAGAGATGCTCATATTTAGTGTTTATTAGTATCTCGAATATGACTGTCTCTAATAGGAGGATATCTATACTTTAACCAAAAAAATTTTATCTCTGCAGTCAAAATAACTATTAAATCAAAAATTGGTAAAAGAAGGCACGCGCACACATGACAATAAAATAGCTGTATATATTTCTCGAAGCAGGTAAATTTTAATATTTCTTCAAGTTAAACAATTCCATTTCATATGTACGCACTGCAAACTGTCATTTTGAGAAGAAAAATAGATTTTTTTACAAAAATGAAATAAAATAAAGAGAGCATGATTGCGAGGTCCTAACGAGCTCGTTGCTTCCAATCCCAGCGTGTATAAGGTACACTAATTTGTTTATTTAATTGGAAAAAAAACAGGAATTGAACCCTAGTTTATGCTGGTACTTGCATCCGGACGATTAAAGAAATGCCACTACTAACTCGAATTATGTGTGTGTGTGTGTGCATCTGAAAATACCACATCCATAGCTTCAGAAATCAAATTCACAGCCATTAGAAAGGCTTGTTTCTGGGCATGCACTGAGACATAATCATGCCCAGCTACAATTAAGTCTTAAAATGGTCCTACCCAGTACGTGAGGAGCATTTCCGTTCTCATTTGTTTATTCTCCCGATAAGTGGCCTTTTATTTTGGCCCCCATTTGTCCCGTTCAGGTCTTCCACACACCATTAATTAATTCACGAGTTTCATTTTGCCACAGCCATAATTGGGCAGGGGCATGTTCAAATTGGTACTGAGTGTGACCGTCCTTATCGTCACATTGTCAAAGTCGTGGTTTTAATTAAAGCAAAACATTTGTTTAATGTTTTATGACGGCTAATTGATTATCTTTAGCTAATTAATTGCATCCCTCTCATTATATATTGCCGTACTATCGATGTTCCACTTAACTCCGTTGCTTTGCAAATTGTGGACCCCTTGTCTCTTGGCAGAATGATTGCACAAAACAACAACCAAGTAGAAGCTACTTGATTACCGGATCCCGTCACAATAAACTAATTATCATGTCCGGGAAGACAAATTCTGGTCAAAATAAATCCTTCCCAATGCGTGAGCTTGATTTCCTCTATGAGAAAAACTCATGTCAAATTTCTTATATTTGTTATGCCAAGTTTTACAATTATATATTAATGTATGTTTTTTTATGTGAATTTATAATTTAATAATATAAAATGTTATGAATAATATGTTAAAAATAAAACACATGATCATGTGTGATTGAAGAATTTAATATGATGTAATTGATATAAAGTTGATGCAAATATTTTCTTTCTTCTACTATAAGAATTATTTCGCACTGAAAGAAACTAACTGTATAAATGAAACTAAAATGTATTTTCATTTACTCCTGTAGTGCAAGCTGTAACTTGACCAAAAAGCAAGACATCGCTACTCATAGAAATACCACCAGATCTTCAAGATGATTAATTAATCCTGAATGAATTACAGACACGTTATTTAGATGATTAAAATCTAATCCTCCATAAATCTGTATGTTCGATGCCCTATATGTGCTGGCTATATACAACAGCCTCTAACTTTACCTTCTGCAATAATACATGATTAATTAGATATTTAATACGATCAATCATGTGAACATCTGCTTATTTTAATTCCATAGTTTCCGAAGAGACCGCGTACGCAAGTCCACCCAGTAAAATAATCACACTGTTCCCTGTCTTTAACCCACTTTTCAGTCAGTCGTTTATGATTATTCTTCCCATCGATGAATAAACAACAAATATCCGCATGCTCCAAAGGCAAATCACCACATCGAAACAAATATAAAATATCTCATCAGGCACCATTATGGAAATACGGCGCTTCATCGTTCGTATGGACGCTTACTTAAATATAATTAGCCATAAACACAATTAGTTCTTAAACCATAATGAGCTGCTTTATGTATGTGTGTGTGTGTGTGTATAAAGAGTTCCTTTGTATGCCTAGTCTTTAATAGTAAGATTTTTATTTTCTCATAATTACAATGTCGGATTTGGAGATTTCGGGGAGTGAATTAAGAATTAATATAATTAATTTAAATATTCCAGTCTGTTCAGCCAATTGCAATGTAACCAGCCAGTCAAAGTTAGTGACTATGTGATTAAGAATAAACCACGTTTGAATGGATCTCTGCTTCATTTGTAATCGATTAACTAATTGACGTGGATACTTGATTAACGATATTTTCTCAACCGCGCGCTGATTAAAAAAAAAAAATTCTCTCATCCACAGGCATTTAATTTAATAAAGGTCCTAAGTGCTTCCATGCAGGCAACAAAACAATCTATTGTCCTCCAGATCTTTTTTTATTTAGTTTTTAAAGTGTCTATCTATTTATAATTTGAGATTTAAAATTAAATATTAAGTATATATTTATGTCTAATTCTATTATAATCTTTAACATGTCCAGTCACATAAAATCCTTTTTTGAGCTCAGTGGACAAAATACATCTGTTATATTTTGTACGAGCAATTGATTTTACTTCAGAAAATACAACTAACTAGAGTATACAAAAATTGAACACTTGCTGTACTATTTAATCCTAA